AGCCGTTCTAGAGATATCTTCAAACACCCATCCATCCACATCACATCCATCTAAACATTCGAATTTATAATATTAGTAATTTAAATAAAAAGCAGCTCTTCAAGGCATAAATTCGCTATAAAAAAAATGAATAAATAGTATCCTATGTCCGTCTCCTGGCTCTAAGCTACCTCCTTACCAATTTTCAGCCATATCGGTAAAGCCGTTCTTGAGTTATAAATAGTGTAACTAACACAACTTTCTTTTATATATATATATAGATTAGTTTATAAAGGTCACAAGTATCAAATACGTGAGAGCTTTATATGAAACTAATATTGGAAATTCGCTTCTCTATTGAACCTGACATTTAAACAAGTAAACTATACAATAACAACTCAGCGTCGGAGCGTAATAAAGTATTTAACGTACTTTTTATCCCAGAGCTGATATTAACACAAAGTAGCCTCAACAATAACACTAAACAAAAAAGAAATATACGAAAATGGAAAAGAAATAACTTGAAAATGTAAGAAAGTTTTTCTTCTCAGTATATTTTTATGAATAAAATAAAAAGAAATTGTATTTATATTTAGATTCTTATCCTTTTTTGAGATGAAGAAATTGTTAATGCCGATGTAAATGGTAATATCAAAGAAGACTTCGTTTTTAAATATAGATAAACTATCGCATTTTGGACCTATGGGTCGAGAGCTTGGGTTGAATTTTTTTTTTTACATAATAAGGTAGCAAATAAGCGAGCGGCCACCTAAAATCGCTGTAATAGCGAAATGACCGTTGCCTAAAGACATACGCAATTGCATATGCGTTGCCTATCTTTAATCGACGGATCCCCTTCTATGCATCCTCTCTGTATCCAATATTTATTCTATATATTTCGACCAAAGATTGAGCACACGCGATATTACGTCGTCCTGAATCTGTCTTGTTGAGTTAGGAGGGAGATGGCAGGCGCAAATAAATTAGTCGTAGAGTGGAAATGAAATCCCTTGAGTAATAAAACATTTGCCCGTACAAGACTAGACAGTACAGCCGGAAATATTACTTTAACATCAATGGGATTATTTTGCTTTATGCCTGTAAATTAGATAAAATGCGCAAAAGTATTTCTTCTTATTTTGTTTTTTTTTTTATATTGAATAAATCAGCGCTTTACCCCGATCCCGCCTGCTGTTATGATGTGGTCGCTGTTTCACACATTCATAAGAAGACAATAGTTGCTACTGCCACACTCAGAGCCTTTAATTGGCCACTAAGCAAAACTTAGTAAGCTTAATCTTTGAAGTTCGCTTTGTTTAAACTTCTCATTACAAAGAAAACAAATATTTCAGTATTTTTAAACATAGCTTGGTTTTGTCATAAATATTAATAAACTTGGAAAATTTACATTCAAAGTCTTGCATAACAAGAGCAAACAACTTGTAACGAACGAAATTCCTCTGTGTTTTCTTGTTAAATTATTAAAACAACCTTTGTATGAAACAGAATTGTTATTTATGTCTTCAGAAAATGTACATTGTTTATTAAAAAGTCAAGTCTTGTTTTGTTGTTGACGATAAAAGTTTAAACATAACCAAAATATTAGAAAAAAAAACAAAATTATACCATTTTTTTGTAGAAGCGCAAGTACTTTTTAAGATGGATCACTCATGACTGGAGCGTCGGTGGCTCAGTGGTCAAGCACTTGACTTGCAATCTGCAGGTCCTGGGTTCGAATCCCGCCATGTACCAATGTGTTTTTCGATTTCCGATTTACATATGTACATTTATCCGACGTTCTTACGGTGAAGGAAAACATCGTGATGCAACCTGCACATATCTGAGAAGTAATTCAAAAGATATGTGTGAAGTCAACCAACCCGCACTTGGCCAGCGTGGTTGACTATGGCCTAATCATCCTTAACTTAGGGTAGGCTCCGAGCCCCTCGGTGGGGACGTATAATGATGATGATGACTCATGAATAATTGTAAAAATCATTTATAAATGTATCATCATAATATAGACAAAACTCCTAAAAACAGGAACCCAGAAACACCACAGACTAAGCAACAGAGAAGACAACTAAGAAACACGTACGAATATTCGTGAGCACGTTTTCGTAACATCATCGACTTTTGTATTCAAAATTGATGTAGCGCCCCAACCGGACGTAAAGAACACCAACAATTGTGATATATTTTGTCGATGATGTTACGAAGGCGCGTGTCCCAAATATGCGTGCTAGAACCTCAGGTCCATACCGTAACGATGATATTCATAAATTCATCATACATTAACCTTCTGGGTCACATAATTTTTCCTCACTGACATACACATAAGAGGGTATGATACCCTGATAACATGTTGACTATTAAATATTCGATTAAGCATTACATTTTTTTTACATGAATAATATTCAAGTTGTCAGTAAGATCGTATTTAAAAAGAAGGTCGAGAGCTATGGCAGGTTTTAATGAAGCACGTACCTGAGTTTTGCGCGACTGGCGCTCCGGAAACTGCGACTATCATGACTGACAAGTACACACACCAATACGGAGCGAGCATTTTTGAAGAGATCTGGAAAGAAAATGAATTGATTAACATTCATAATATGACTAAATTAATAGTAATAAATACAAAAATTCCGTACTCCTAAAATTAGTAGTTAAAAAGGGAACTTTCTTAAGGTTAACTTGGTAATTGTAGAGTATGAAATGATTGGTTATAATTGAAATTCTACGAACAACTTGCAATCCTTGTACAATTTTTAACTAACATAACATTCTAATATTACTAAGTATTTTAACGTATTCATAATTCAATAATCTTTATATTACGTGATGATATTAACAATGTTAAACTTCAATCTTACGTGCAATTAATTGCAATTGACGTCCTAATCCGTGGAGATGTGGCAGCCCACTGAGTCCATTATGTCGATCACAATGGAGCAAATTGGCTGCCGCGCACAAAGACCTCAATACAAACTGGCACACTAATATTGTTACATAGTATATGTGCATGCATCTTTGAGTATTGTCATACTTATGTAAGGGGATGTGACTTTTGTATAATACCGAAATGCTCCACTTATTAGTAACTTTTTATTACAAATAATTTACAAATGCTATAATACAAATTGTAAACTACTGTTCCTTTTAATTCCTATAAAGTATTTCATACAAAAGTTCTTAAGGTAGCGTCAGCAAAAACATCTGTTACACAAAGGGGTCGGCCTGACTGGTGAAATGCCACGACCACACAGAACATAGCCGTCAAGTGGAAGCAATTTCTACGCTTTTCTTGGACGGTATAAGTGGGAATGGGAGGTGGATTTAGTGGAGGAGAGTAACATAGGAAGGGAAAATATCTTCTTCTCCCTTTCTGTACGTCCCCTCCTTTGTTGATTAAGGTAGGTTAAGCATCTGTATATCTGGATGTATAAGGGCAGCGGCTGCTTCTTTATTTTGACGAATTTAGGTAGCCCCGTGCTTGCTTGCCACCCTAAGCGATCACCAATAAATCGAACTAAAAATAGCAATCCATATAAATCTCCAAATAGGCACAAAGTAATTTCCATAAATCGACATCGATAAAAAAGGACGGAATGTATCGAAGTAAATTGAATTTACCTCGACGAGAGGACTGGTCCGACAGCGGGGAATCTGTCGCCAAGGCGAAACCAAGGAAACCTTAAAAGCTAAGCGCTATAGAATTATTGATTGCTTTATACAGTTTGCGATTGTAGCTACTAATGAGAACTATTTAGTTTATGCGAAAAGAAATGCGTAATACATACGAAGTTCCTGTAGCTTGAAAAAATTGGCAACAGAGCGGCTATTTCGCTTGGAGAGGGAGATGAGTTAATCCAAGGGGCTTGTTTAGGCGTTTTAATTTTATATTTTTACTGATTGTAATTGATCCATATTAATGAAGTTAAGATGATAAGTATTTTTTATTAAAAAAAAAAAAACAAAAATTGAACAATAGTGTGGATTTTAATTCTTCCCTTAATATTACAGTTAAGAGGTACCCTCTCAAAATAGGGCCTAGTCTTTTTTTTTACAGTTCTTTATTTGTCTTGTATGGATGTTATATGTGATTATAGCCATTGGCTATTCAAAAAAGCACATGAAATGGAATTAGCTTATAGTAAAATTAGTACAAATGCTTTTGTAATTTAAGTCGGTCGTTTTAAAATCTATCATGAATATATAATAGAGATATGGGTTAAATTAATTTATTATTCATCAATACTAACCTAAGTAAATATTTTCTGTGAGTATACTCTTCTTTCATAGATTACAAAGTAGAATTCGTATTATATAATACCTCTTTTAAGTTCAGAAAATAACTGTACTATTATTTTAAAATATTTTTAACTATTATAATAGTAAAAACCCAGTCAAACTAATTCATAACAAAATTTGAGTACACTGAAGGCTTATAATTATTTTCTTACACATTGGTTAAGAACTCAAAAATACTTTTTCAATGAATAAATTCAATTTTATGAAGTAAAAGACTTGTGAAGTTATATCTTCATTCCTTTCATTATGTTTGAAAATAATAAAGACAACAGTATGTTTTTATACCAACGTCCCGATAGTTTAAAAATACATCTTTTTGACTACCGAATCACGTCGTCAATCGGTGTCAATGTACGAGGGTGTTGCGGGGTGCATACGGCCTGGGGGAGGGGAGGGGTAAAGGGGATGAACTGGGTCACCGGAGCACCACCGGCCGCGGACCCAGAAACACGAAACCGAGAGAGCCCGTTTTAAACTCTCCACACAAAACCCATTATTTATAGAGATTATTCTCGCATTCTCACAATAAAAACAAATAAAATCTAACGTACATAATATTTATTTTGTTCTAGTTTCGTTTAGAAAAAGAAAAAATATGTTATCTTAACTTATTAAATGTTTGAAGAAATTTCTACTTTTGAAGGAATTTTCAAACTTCTCTACCGTTAAGTCAAATGATATTTTCAATCATCATCAGCTCACTCTACGTCCCCACCGAGGGGCACACAGATATACAGGTTGCATCACGATGTTTTCCTACACCGTAAGAACGTCGGATAAATGTACATATGTAAATTGAAAATCGACAAACACATTGATACATGGCGAGATTTGAACCCAGGACCTGCAGATTAATTAAGTCAAGTACCAAAACCCCTAAGCCACTGACGCTCGGCGAAATTTTCAATGTAATTAAATAAACAAAAATACTATTCTACGCAAATTGCTAATAATATATTTGAACGAATTAATTGCTGATGGACACATTTTTATTTAGTCCTATAAAATTATATTTCTTATAATATTAAAAATTCGTACAAAACAGAAATAGATCAAAGGTAATCAAGAGCTTAGAATTTTAAATAAAGTCAGCTTCAAAATTTACAATAAACTTCGCAGTTGTTTACTATTTAAATGATTAAGCACTGTCGGTTGCCGTCAAACAAAAAGTTTTTAAATACTTTATTAGGTAAAACAAAATATTACTTCTCAGTAATATTATAATTAAATTTAATATTACTAGAGAGTGTAGGGGACACACAAAAGTCCCTTATTTTCTAATTTTATTCCTACCTACCTAATCTATACCTTTCCATCGTTTTTTTTTCTTGCAAAAGTATTTTTTAACGATTCAACATTCTATTCACATTTCTAACAATCATATTAAAAAAATAAAATTACGTAAAAGCCGGTAACAATTCATGTTTGCATGAGATAACGTATATATCACACTTAATGGCGACCTAACACACTATTTACAGGACTTTGCTTATAGTATTTCAACATTTATTTATACTGTAAATCTATAGTACATTTGCGTGACATAAAGTGTACTAACTTTGATTAAAATACGAAATCAAAATAATAATAATAATAAAAAAATTATTTGCATAGGCACACACAATATTACATAACAGTTTAGTTTACAAATTAAAAAAAAACAAGTTTCAGAAATATTTTCACATATTAGTTGTTACCATTCCAAATAAGCTGGAAGCTTGTGCTAGGACATGGTTATCTACTACCTCAAATGTTTTTGCAAATATGTAAATAATAATCTTGCAATTATGTCGATTTTCCTTTCCTTGTCATTCATGGAAGTATATTTAATATCATTTCATAATATTGTAAGTTATGAACTTAAGATTTATTTCGTCTACATATTATTTTGAATTTATAAACTTTAAAGTATAAATTAAAATATAATCTTACTAAATAACTAACCACTACAAAATAAATGAATTAATAATACTATATTAAATAAACTACATACTAAAACTAAACCAAACTAAAAATAAAACTAAAGTAAGTTATTACTTGTGTGATAGTCAGATATCTAAAGAGCTAAATCAATAATTTAAATAACTTGAAAACAATTACGTATAATTCAAATCACTCAACATATTCCATTTATAATAAAAAGAGCGTACACCTTCCTTAAAGGCCGGCAACGCATCTGCGGTGCCTCTGGCGTTCCTGATGTCCATGGGCGTCGGATCAAATAATATTTCGATTCGTTGCTCGTTTGCCCACTTCTAATATAAAAATAAAAAAAAAACTGTAAAATATCGGATTTCTTTTTTACTTTAAAATTTTAAAGCTTCAATCTCCGTAATTTAAAATATTATGCAACCAAATGTAATCCTAGTATGACAAACTTTAACATAAATTTAATCCAAGAAGCTTATCCTGACTATTAATTGCTTTTGAAGTTTGTGAAATAAGTTGAAAAAAGTTTGCAAGCACTACAGATATTGCACAAGCCTCAGTGTAAACGTGACTTTATTTCGCAAACGAAACGTATAATTATTTTGCTAGGTTCATACGAAAGCAGACTAACCATGAGTTTCTGAGACCGAGATCTCCGTTTGAAACATATTGATATGTTTTTTTTAAAAGACAGGTATCTCGATGTTTTATACGGAGATTTTGGTCTTAGAAACTCACGGTAAGACAGAATGCACACTTCGAGACAGAATAGTTGGCCTATTAGGAGTATTAATGTCGAAATTAGTTTGACTTTTAATGTATTTTACGCCCGATAGGGGCGCTGCAGTTTTAATGCAAATGTCGATGATGCTAAGATGGCGATTGTCACAAATATTCGTGCTAGACCCACAGCACTTTGACAACAGCAGTAGTGCAACTATCGTACTGTATTGCCTAACTGTTCTACTCTGGGGTAAAATAATCATTACATAAGAAAGTATACATCGCTCAACCTACGTAAGGTTGAGGGATGTGTAACTTCGCATTTCGCAACCTTCCCTATATTTGTCTTAAAAGTTTTGTAAACTTCCCAAAGTAATCAACGTAAATAGCCTGCTGATATATTGAAATAACAAATTAAAGTTGGTAGGTTTGCTTCAATCGACAACATAAACACATTCAGCAAGTAAATTAAGTGATAATTTTAGTACAAAGTCAATTATAAATAATTAAAGGCTTGCGATTTTAAGCTAAATTTGTAATTGAAAGTACATAAGCCCTGTTACTGTGGGTTTCTGATTCAAAATCCCCGTTTAAAACTTATCGACAGTACTGTCATTATCTTTAACAAGACAAAAAACATATTTTTATCCCTTTCATTTTCTTTGCAAAAAAGAGATAAGAGTATTTGTTCAGGTGTTTTGAAAATGGAAAATCGTGATATCATCACTTTTATCTACGGAGAAATAAAAATCTGGTGACGTCACAATCCTTTGTAGTTTTGACGAAATTTATTCAATTTTCCTTTTGCTTTAATAACCAGAAGAATACACCAAACGATTAGAGTGATTTAAAACAGAGAGATGAATGTCTTTGTCATGTTCTACCATTTGAGATACGAGCCAGTACACAATGATTAGATTCTTTCCATCTTCAAATAGATTAGCCTACAGCTGCGAGATACGCTCTGATAATAGACAATTGTATTCAGAAAATGAAT